GTCAGCCGGCAGTACTACCCTCAACTACTGCGTGTATTGCGGCAGGAGAGCACGTTTTCTTTATTATTTCAGACTTCCACTCATGGTCGCTAAAGGCCTACACAAGTACGAACTTTGTATAGTTAAAAAGGTACAGCAACCGGATGTACTTTTCGCCAAAGAGACCGGCCAATCTGACACAGTTTTCCCTATCTTTTTTTTTAAATGCACACAGGTAACTGCGCAACAGGACCCTGTGAGTCTTTTTATCTAGCATAATATTACACGACAACTGGCATACCAAAATCTGCGCATCTGCGCTTGAAATTTCCAAAATGACGCGATTTAAAACAGAGTTTGCACGCCAGCCGGACGATAGCTACAGCCCACTCGGCGGAGCGGACGACATAGGGGTGAGAGGGGGAGTGCATTTTTTTCTCTTTTACCCTCTCTGCTATGACCCTAATGGAACCGTCTATATGAGGCGGTATAAAAAGAAGGGCAGGGGGGGGGGGGGGGGGGGGGCCGGCCGGAGGTCGTTTTTACAACATGCTGTGTCGTATAAAGGTTCCTCTGCCCCGCATCGTCGAAGCAGACCAGAAAGCGTGATACTACTTTGTTTGCAAAAACACTTGCCAGAAAGCGCGTTTCCGTCGTTCCAGACGCTCGCGCCGTTCCTCACGGCGATGCACAAAGAGTACAAGTTCGTGCCTCTCCAGTACTTCGCTTTCCCTGAGCGCGAACCTCCTGCAGCGTGCATTTTGCACCATCGAATTCGATTTTCTCAGCAAGAACAAACTCCAATGACCACCAGCATAGAGTGTGATGACGTCACGCGCATACCATGTTAAACAGTTCAGCTCTGGGGGGAAACGCGATGCTCGCAACACTATAGCAATAGATGATCAAATTGTAAAGTTGTGGAATATTTTGAGCAGTCTCCCAATGATTTACGGCAACCAAGAGAAATGGTAGAGCGCATGACTGATAAAGCACAGAGCTGTAAAGCGAGGGCCCAAAATAAGTACACGCAAAAACCAATATAACATTAGCCTCCCTAGGCTGTATTTCGCGAAGTTTTGAGCTTATGCAAGTTGATAAAATGTTATTCATATTCGTATTTTAAAAATCTTCGTCTGTCCTCCATTGCATGCATATTTATGCGTTATTTTAGCAGTAAGGCGTTCTGTAAGGGATTATTCAGAAAAATACCATTTATTATCTCCCTCTTTATGCACATTTCCTGTATTTTCCTTCCGATCTATCATGTGAGCACAAAGTCTTTTTCGGCATACCCTGCCACCCGATGTTTCACACTGCCAATCAGCGTACGAAAAAGCACGTTTACGCCGACGCAACAGCTGTCGTAGTTTTGAGTATCGTCCTCCCGTGTCTGTCTCAAAAGCGGTTCTGAGAACTTCATAAAGTAACATTTATTGATGATAGTGAAAATATATTTAATTACTGACTGAAAAGTTGGCAACATGAATAAAGGGCCGATCACCCTAAAGCAATTCACCCCCAAATTATCCTGAAGGATGCTCTGTAAATCTTTTCCGGAGTTTTATCACCGACAGGCACGTAGTAGTGATTTGGAAGTCTTACTCAATTTTTTTTTCTTCTTGAAGCTAGTTTAAAGCACTATGTGTTCCTGACTCATATAACTTCTCAAACACATTGAAGTCTGTTAATGCCTCTTTTATGTGTCTGTGGGCTGGACAAAAACAAAGTATAAAGGGGCGCGCGGCGGAACTATGACGATTGCGCACGCAAACCGCCAGAAAGTGTCCAATTAAGCAGCTGCCATGTCGAGTAGAGCATAAAACACTACTTCGTCTTACTTAACAAAAAAAAAAAAAAAAAACACTTGGACGACGTTTAAGTTTTGTTTCTAAGTACACTGTACATTAAGAGTGGAACGCGATAGCGTTATCGGACCCCGTTCGCATCGTCTTCTCATTCGCCGTGCAAGCGTGCCTTGCGTGGCTCGGAGCACGTGGAATGAAAACTCGCGCTGCAGAACCCAGGAATCCTAGGTTTAATCCCCCCCCCCCCCCCCCCCCCCCCCCGCCCCCTGCCCCTTTTCGATCTGGATGAGCATCGTACCGGCTTGTGGTCGTGGATCACTACTGCGTGGTGCACAGGGGCGGATGCAGGATTTTCCTGAAGGGGGGGGGGTCAGATGTTGGTCAGCGTACCACATGTTTAAGCACCCCCTCCCCTCTCCTTTGTTTTACGCCCTAAATTTTAAACATGCAGAAATCAAGAGGGGGGGGGGGGGGGGGTCAGGACATCCGGACCCCCCCCCCCCCCCCCCCCTCCCCTCCTCTAAATCCGCCCCTGGTGGTGCAGGTTAAAGACCCCAGGCTAGCAATCGTACTGCACAGGCTAAATTTCTCATCTACAGCTGGGAGACAAGCTGCCCGTTCAGGCAGACTAAGTTCTAGGCTAAATAAACATACACATACCCCAGCCTTCTTTTTTAAATGTACCTTTATGCGAACGTGTGAGTGGGTATAACTTTCTTTAAATAAATCTAAAACAAAAACCTCTTCCACAAGATTCGATCGACACTGTAATTTAACACGAATGTATGACTATACTCCGTTTGATCTTACGTCCGGACGCAGCGGACGCTACGAGCTATCCCAGCCTATCCCGCCCTGTGGACGTAGCCCGTGTGCCCCCTCTCCAAGGTCACGTGACGCTCACACGGCCGCCGATTGGCTCCCATGGCTCGTAGCATCCGCTGCGCCCGGACGTAAGGTGAAACGGGGCATAGGTATACGTGGTGAACTTATATTGTAAGAATATAGAAGTAAAAACATACTTTAATTAAAAGTAAAAAAGAAAAAGTGGGCCATTGAGCTGTTTTATTAAAGAAACCAGGGAAGACGAGCAAATCAGGAACATTGACCTCACTCTCTATGTTGTTTTCATTAAATCAAACGTTCGAAATGCCCAAAGGTCCCCCCCCCCCCCCCCCCCCTCCCCCCGCCCCTTCATATTGACACAGAAATACTGCACGCTTCGTACGAAAATTGAATTTTTTTCATTGTAACTCGTGAATAAGGCACGGTTTCTTTGATATTTAAACGAAAATGCACCACCCAGCTTCGCCATTGTTTTAAAATTAGAGTGTTGGAGTATGCTAAACTAATTTTTGAGGTATATTTAAAGTCGTTTAGACTTATTTGGCTTTTGCTGTATTGGTCAGCGGTCTGCCACGGCGAGGTACGGAAACGCTCGATTTGAGATAGACACTTATCTCACCACACTGAGTCAGGAAAAAAAAAATCAAAGCTGTGTAACTTGCCCAGATAGAGAGGCGGGACTTAGGAAGCAGATTAAAAGCTATGAACCACTGTCACCATATCTAATCACCCCCACACTCTCTCTCTCTCTATATATATATATATACATATATGCACACATCTTTTTTCCCTTTTTTCCGGGGGGGGGGGGGGGGGGCGTGTTTTTTTACGCACTTTTTTATGCTTCAAATCGCGAGTTAACATTGTTAACATTATTTTTATTAGAGTATTCTCACTCACATGCTGTATACTTTCCGGACTGTAATCCTCACTTGGTTGATAGTCCGTAGGAGCAAATTTTAGGAAAAAAAAACCAACTTTTTGTAGATAGTCCACACCCGGTGCGTAGTCCGGATGTCGTGCATAGTCCGCACTTCGCGCCTGATTCAAACGTAAAAATTATGATGCGCAGCACACCTCGGCAAGTGATTGCTGTATTATCCCACAAAAAAAAACTTGTATCATACATAAGTCAACATTAATATGCTGTTATTCAGAAAATCCGTCACGTTTTGCCATACCGAACCATCTAGAAAAAACAAATTCTTTGTATAGTTATTTATACAAGGATATTTTCCGGATCATAGTCGGAGGACTATTGTCCGGAAAATGCGGTACTCAGTGGTTAGGTTTTGTCCGACTATTGACAAGCAGTACGGGAAAGTTAAACTTGATAGTTACGTTGTGAACACCTTCTATTATTGAAGGATCTTCATAGAGCCTTTGAACTAAAATAAACAAATAAAGTTGTAAATAAACGAACAAATAAGTTATAAATAAATAAACACATCAATAGGCACATACTGTAAATATATAAATGAAACGATACATAATACAATATACATAAATAAGTGGACAAATAAATAAATAAATTGTTCTGAATCTAGGCCATCACGCACACACGTCCTGTGGGAAGAATGAACCCGGAACGACAATGACTCTACCTGTACGGATTTATACTCTTATCTCTTATGCCCGTGTCCCACTAGAGCGACATACAGAAACAAAAGACAACGACAAGCCTCAAACCAGAGTCTTTTTCGATTTGAGAGGTTTCGTAGAATAAAGGAGGCTATGCTCAAACACGAGCATTATGCACGCGAGTGTATTTTTGGCAGGCTTGCAATCGCTCGTGCTTACTTCACGAGCACCGAACGACTAAACACCTGTCAAAGGTACCATCGCGAGCATGCTGCATGGGTTGGAGGCTTGTCGCTGTCTTTTGTCTCTTTCTGTCGCTCTAGTGGGACACGGGTATTATGGAGGACTGTTTAGTCCAGTTAACCCGACGACGGATTCGAAGATGTAGTTTTCAACTACAATATTAAAACTATTAACGAAACATTGAATCTAAAGTAAAGAGGCAAGCTACACGAGACTTTGTAAAAGTGCAAGTTGTCCCGAGCATGGCGTCCGAGAAGTTTGTGTTTGCCCGTTTCTTGTCAATGCCAGCACAGATTCCACGGCGAGCCAACGCCGTCAGAACTACTTGCGAAGGCGCGAGACTTCGTTTTTGCGTCTTCTTCGCATTACAAATCGTGATAAGCGGAACACCGGTGACTGCGACAAAACGAACCGCTTCGCCAAACCGAAACCGAAACCACTCTTCCACCGCACTGACGACTGGCGCCATCTCTCGTCGATGAATTTAAACGTTTTCGTCACATGCTCTTTTGCGATGCACCCTGGGAAATGTCATTGCCAGCAGAAGCCATTAGTCTGAAAACATCTCGCAGAATGTCCCGGTAGTATTGGTCGATCTTTTCGTGTAGAATCCCCGCGATTTCGTCTGTGCTCCATCGACGATCACTCCGAGCGTAGCCAAGATGTCCGGGATAGTGTCGGGACTGACCACAAAGGGCAGCAGCCGTCTGAAAAAGAAACACTTCAAGCCGAAGCACCAAAAGGCGAAACTCTTCCGAGCCAACGAGCCACTGCTGAGTGTTTTCATGTGGGGTGTCAACCACACCGTGAGTACACGCCGCCTTTGCCCTTCACCGCCTCGCTAGCAACTGCGCGAACTTGGGCCCGCTTCCTTCTTGGGTTGCTTCGAACGTCCGAAAGTTTTTTTCGTGCAAGCGTTGACCGTTCCCAACTTTTAGTTCGCCGTCCGACAACCTGCGCTTTAGGCCTAGAACGGAGAAGATTCGCCTGTCTGAATGAACTTATTTTTTTATTTTTTCCCCTCCTCTTGTATCCGTGTGCGCGCACGAACGGCTGTGACAATCGTAGACCTCGCTCTTCGTATTTGTCACTTAGAGTCGTCGTTTTGAGGCTGCGAAAAACGTGCGGAGATTTTGACGTCCCCACTCCGACTGAATACTGCGACCGGTTTTCGTGCCTGTCTCCGGCGACGACGGGTCGTTCGTATTAATCGGAGATGGAAATATGGGCTATCTACTGGTAACGGAAAACTGATAAATGCTTTTTTTTTTTTACGTGGTAACATAGAATGGCGAATGTTTTTATATACTGCGAACACCGGTACTTGACAGGAAAAAATCAAGAATAAAGAATATGATAACGTCCGAACGGAATTGCTGTCGCTTATCGCCCTCTAGTACTGGGAGGTGATTTAGTTATTTCGCCTCCAGCGCGAGCCTTACACCTTCGGTAATGATTCGCCGTCTCGTGATCTTTGAGGCTTCATACAAAACAAAAACACGGTGGAAGGTAACGAGTGTGTTCTAGAGGCAGAACGTTAACTGCTCCTAGCACACGACAGAACGGTCGTTCTGTCGCATTCTGCCAGTGACTCCAGAAACATCATGTTAATCGTAGTGTCGTGGTACCTTTCTCTAGAGGTCGCTTGTTCGCTTCAGTAATCTTTAGATTCGAGTTTGGTAACCGTGCCTTTTTTGCTATTTCATAAAGCACTGATCGTCCATAACCAAATCGTATCCAGGTGCGCAGGCAGAATCTTCTGAAAGGAAACTAACTACCTCCTGAAACGAAGTCCATGAATACGAAGAGATTAGAGTTTGAAGGGCTTGATCTTGTACAAAATATCTAATAAGCTTGAAGTCCTTATTCAATTGTACAAAACATCTGCTTACTCACTCGCTATGTCTCTGAGTGCACCCAGTTACACTGCCCTTTAGCTTAGTCTTTACTTTTGCTGATAACTTGTGCTTTCTAAGCAAAAAAAAAAACATAAAGGGGGGGAGGGATAATTGGAGCAATTCATCATCCTTAATGAAGCAAATCACACCCAGGTTTGTAAACACGAAAATTGTCACGGATTCTTCTGTCAAAAGTATCACGCAAGAGGCAGGTTAAAACCGGAATAACAATGCCCGTGAACCCACTCGGCGGGAACGACTTTCCGGCACATGGCAGGAAGAGCAGGCTGTGACCACCTGCTCCGAACAAACAAAGCGTTGTAAACCCGCGCGTCGACGTTTAGAGACGCCATTTGTCGGCATCGTCACAACTGTTCCTGTAGAGAGTCACCTGGAAGCATTTTTGGGGCAGAGGCCTTTCAATGCCTGGGCTTCTGTGATTTATTCACGCTATTTGTAGGCTTATTCACACATATGTGTTTTCGTGTGTGCATAGATTTGATCTTGCAACAGTTTTGATCGAGTTACATGCGGATCAGGGCAGTTCCAGGGCTGCCAATGGATGCCACTGTGTACCTTCGTCTTAAGCAAGCACGAGGCACTCAGGTCAGACTCGAACCCAGATGTGTGAACCGGCCTGAAGTTGCAACCTTTGTGCCTGCAGTGTGTGGCGATTCGTGTTGACCAAACAAAAAATTGTTGCGTGTATGTTTATACAGCTGTAAGTTACTCTGCCTCAGTAGGCGTCTGGTGTCTCAGCTGTAGATGTGCAATTTAGCCAGTGCGGTACAACCATTAGCCTGGGGTCTTTAACGTGCACCACGTAGTAGTGATACATGATTGCACGCCAGTATGATGCTCGTCCAGATCAAAACTGGCAGGGGCAGGGATTGTACCCAGGATCCTGGGCTCTGCAGCGCGAGCTTTCCCTCCAGATGTTCCGAGCTGGTGTGCACTAGGCCACTTGGTTACCGATTCCCCCCTTGACCAAATGGAGCACTTATATTTTCATATCCGGAGGACTTGCGGCATATGACAGTATGCATGGGGACGTGCAGGACAACTATGTGTTACGGCAGGTTCGTGTACTTGTGAACTCGCCGTAACATGTCAAACATGCTAAAAAGCTGATTAATGTTACAGCACACCACAAAAGAAACACTCACGAACACAGACACACTAAAACAAAAAGTACAGTCACTTGGTGCTAACTCACAACTCATGTTTGAGTGTCTTCTTCTATGAACATAGAACAACCTCATCTTTTTCTATGTTCTAAGAACGAGATGACAACATCGAATGCAGTTACAGAAATAAGTCCCAATAAAATTTAAAAAAAATATATTAAAAATAAAAAACGTAACAAAAAGTAAAGATTAATAAAGAATTCTCACTGCTGGAGCCTGAGAGACTTTTTGGTCAAATACTCAAGCTCAGATGGCCTGCTGACACACTTGTTTGTACTTCGATACTTGCTGCCTCAATAATCTCCCTGGTGAGCTGATCTTTCCAGCACATTGCAGTTGCTCAAAAGTGCCGAACACCCACAGTCCCAACAGTCTGTCCGGAGTTGGCGTCGATTATGTTGTTGGCATGCTCACGAAGGTGGTCATTCAGACACTGACCAGTTTGTCCTATGTACATTCCCCCACAAGAAAGTGGGAAGGAATTAATTACACCTTGTACACAGGGAACAAAGTCTGTTCTGTGCTTCTTGGTGCAACTTACGGTGTTATTTAAAGTCGAATTTACCTTTTCACACATGCTGTCAAGTTTTTTTGGGGCTGAAAAGAAATGGTGAAAAGCTCACGTGAAACAGCTGTGGGTACATTGACATTAGGGAGTCTACTTTTAATAAAGGGGTCGTCAACTGTACTTTCAGGAAACGTCGAGTTTGACATGGTGGCCGGGTCATTCACGATTTTCCAATTGAGCGGCACTCAAGTGGCATTCAGAAAGACTTTCACCACGGCATTTTGATGATTTCTCATCGATGGTTACGAGTAAATGAAAATATAAACATTTGTTGCACCTTGAGAATGAATTTGCACTCGTTTGCACTTTGCACACATTGAGCCTGTGAACACGTGCTGAAACTGTGCAGATGGCCAGCGTCAGTTTTACATGCCAAAAGTTATAATTCCTAGACATTTGTTGTTAAAGCATTTCCCAGCACAGGCTTTGATTCCAGTGTTGATGTGGGGATCTCCTGTGTCTATGGGAGCCATAAAGGTGTACTTCCTGCTTCTTCTGCTTGGTGGGTCAAATTAACATCCTCTACTTTAAAGGAAAATTGTGATTCGCTTACCCACCGCTGTTTATATGAGCATTGGCTACTTCGCTCACAGTTCACGCTTTCAGCCTAGTTGTTATCGTGCATATCATCATTCGCAAAAGTAGCATAATTGGAAAAAAATTAACTTTTTTTTATCATTAGTTGATTTTTGGTCACGTTTGCTAGGCTGCTGCCGCACGACGCTATCGATTGGCTGCCTGATTAACGGCCTCGTGTAATTTAACCGAAGTCTTTACTTTTTATTTATTTAATTGTGTTTTTGAAAGAAACCCGTTTGATGAAAATGGTATGCTGTTGTAAAAAAAAAATAACGGTTCAAGCTTTTTTTTTTTTTTTGGGGGGGGGGGGGGGATTTAGGGATTAGGAATTGAAGAGTACTATATAGTGCATACTTCAATCCTGAAGGAAGTGCTTAGGTGGGATCCGGAATCATGGCATAACTTCGCAGTTGGTGGGCAGGGTTCTCACTTGTCCTTGAGTATCCTTGTATATTAAGATGCAGATTTCAAGGCTTAAGACTGCGTAATTTATATGCTTATAGTTCAGATACGCAAATTGTTGAACCATACTGATCAAATTGAAATGAACGTTAAAATGTTGAACTCAAACCCTTCAGCCAAGTGCACTAAACTTTATGCCCTTATTTTTGCTTGTACTCTTCGACAGAATTATTTCAATTTCGAACTGCCTCAATCGTTTCGAAATTAATATTTTTTTTCTAATCCAATGAAAATTTATCTAACAAAACACCGCAATGAAAAAAAAATATATTTGGTGTGTTTGGAGTTACTGGAGAAGGTCACAAAATAACATTGCAAACGCATTCTCTTTTTTTAATGAACACCCTGGAAGTCTTGGGAAGGCCATGCTGTGAATATGTGCTCAACTACGAAGTGAGCATTTTGTATATTTTCTTGTTTTGCTGGTTATGATAAGCTAAAATCAGCTTCTCGTACAAGAAAACGGAAAAAGATACCGAAATGTCACGACACGCTCCTTCATAGTTCAGCACATTCAGAAAAATTAAATTGGGTCGCTGTGTGCTCTTCGCGACACAGGTAGCGCGAACAGGTCATCGCCGGTCTTTTTTATGTTTTTCTCTGAGCATCAGAATGACGTGTGGTAAAAAGTGCTCAGTCGGGATACTAACCTAAGTGGTAACTTGTGGTGCCTGCCAGTACCATTTCAAAGTAAACTGCGAAGACGCACCGAAGTTGTCTCGTTCACGCCATCGAGGTCGTTCAGTGTACGTACAGTTTCTTCGCATTCACGAGTATCCATTGTGGATGACGCGAAATATATACTCTGCTCAGTGTGAAGATCCGCCGGGTTGATCAGGCCCTCAATTAACTGTCACTTTGCTAATCCAAAATGCGTTGTAAAAAAAAAAAAAAAAATTCTAGACGCGTTCTTTTGCCATGTCTCATCTATCTTCGCCGACTTTTCGTTGACCGTGACCGGCTGTCGATTGATTCATCGTTTCTGGGCCATTTGCGGCACGACGGCGGTTCGATGGGGAACGGGGTATATCGTTTCCCGTGTTACCTAAACAAAAATGGGAAAGGTGATCGTTCTTGTGACGAACCAGTTCGTACCGGAAAGGTTTGCGGAA